CTGTGGCTGCCTGCCAGGGAGGAGTCGACGGGGGACAGGGCAGCCCCCTGAAACCATCTTATCACCAGCAAACTGGTTGGTCCACTAAAGGAGTGTACTGCTTAGTGGGGAAGCGGTTTACTTGGGACTCCTCAGACTGATGAAGCCCTCCGGATAGAGGGCAAAATGTCTTTCCACAAAAAATAAACTGTCCAGATGACCTGACTGACCATTAGTGGATTTTGTATCTGGATGAATGAGCATGAACTTTGAAATCTAAGCTATCCTGTAAAAAATAAAAATGTGACAAAGTTTTTGTTAAACTGGAAAACAAACATAAAACAGTATTTAACAGTTTTGAGTTAAGGCAATATGTATTTGTTTCATAATTGCTCACCGCTGAAAGGCGTAGGTGGACATTAATGGTTTGCTCGTGTCTGTGTTCTGTCTGTTAGCAAAATATAAACCGCAGGAGGAATTTTTTGGAAACTTTCAGAAAATAATCATTAGATGTACCTTTATAACTGTTTAACTTTTGAAGTCAATCTAATTCAAAATGGCCACCACCGCCAACTGAACGTTTATAAAAAATGGCTACAGTTCAATCAAATTTGAAGATATAGAGCTAAAACATGGTGTGGTAGTAACTGGGAGTCATTCACAACTTTGAGAGTGACATATTGCAATATTGCGTAAGATTTTGTCACGTTATTTTCAGTTTGACCAAAAAAGGTACAACTCCGTCACAAGATGATCTTAAATTGTGGGCAATATACATTCTTTCAAAGACTAGGTGTTTAATTTATGAATATATGTTTAAGAGAGTTCAAGTTGAGAATTTTAGTTTTAGTGTTATGCTGGTTTTATGCTAACCCTAACACACACACACACACAATTTGGTCACCAAAAAAGAACACTTTCTGGGGCCGCCCCTGGTTTGCACCTCGATTTTTATTTTCTTTAATCCGGATCAGTGTCCGCGTGCAACAATCATCAAAACTAATCATGAAAACGAACATCCTTGATCTGACCACTTCAAAACAATCGTTTCCTCTTTGGGCACGTGCGCAATAACCTCCCTCCTCCAGCTAAACAACGAAAAGCTCATTATCCAATTAACGGCGTTAACAGGTGTGTGTGCGCGTGTTCCGGGAGGGGGAGGGGTCGCCCTGGACAATTCCCCCAATTAGTAGAGTGAGCACGTGAATCTGCTCCCCTACTTACACAGGCAGAAAGGGCCACGCGTGTCTTCACAAACACAGACACTCCGTGCGTGCGCTGACAGCCAAACCCCGCAGAAACATGCACGCTCTAGTGAACGCCTTCATGCGCTGTCTCTCCTTCCTCCTGCCTCCTCCTTGGCTCTGTGTCAGCGTCTGCCTGTGGGTTGGGAAGGACTGTGAGGACGCGCTGCGGCGGCCCAATCCCCGAGCTCGTTTCAGAAGCGCAAAGCTTCTTACATATGAGGAAGTTGCAGCAGTCGGAGCAGCGGCTGTAGCGGAAGCACAGGGAGGCAGCTCCTCGCGCTCACCAGCTCCAGGCTGCGTCTCGCCGGCCGCTCCAAGCCCCGCCGCTCCTCAGGGCCCTCCGCAGGCTCGGATCTGGACCGGGGCTCTCTGGCGAGCCGTGGAGCGCGTCCTCGGAGCCCCCTGGGTCCTGTTCCTTGGTCGCTGGAGTCCGAGGAAGCGTCGAGTAGCTGTGCGCGCCCCGTGTCCTCCTCCTCCTCCTCCTGTCTGTGTGCTCGAACCGAGCCAGATTATTCCGAGCTTCACCCAGGGAGGAGGCGCCGCTGTCACCTCGGACTGGGAGGCACCAGGTGGGGCCACCTTGACTCGCTCCAGACACGCGATCGTGATGAGTGGCTCCGTGGGGATCCCCGGCGCCCACTCGGCGGAATGCGCCTCAGGTGAGTCCGTGGAGCAGCAGCGGGGCGTGGATGAGGTCATCACCGTGGACCAGCTCTCCCAGGAGATGGGCACGGTGACGATCACCGTGGCCATCCAGGCGGCGGAGGACGAGGAGCCGGAGGAGGAGTCCTCCAACAACAACGTGGACTGTCTCCGAGGCAGCTGCAGCGAGGACGAGGCCGGGAGACATGACAAATCAAGGTATGTGGGCCACTTGAACTTTCACTGTAGTTGGTGAAAGCCCAGTTTCCCCAGCTTCATTAATCAGCTGCTGGAGGTCTAGTTTGTTTAGCTGATATATCAGCTGATGTGTAGCTGCACAACAAGGTGCACGGTGATGGTGAAACGCACAAACGCTCCACACATTATCTACTGT